TTTTCGAACTCACTATCATAATGCCCTCTCCCCACTTCCCTCCACATGATATACAAAGTACAAAACCAGGCTCATTTATTCTTCTTTTCCAATAAACGAGTCTTCGCGGTAACGTCGTTCATTGTAATGTCGTTTTTTGTATTCGCGGTAATGTCGTTCGCGGTAACGTCGTTCGCGGTAATGTCGTGTCACGGTCACGCTTGGACGAGCCGTGTACTACTATCACGGCGCCAAAAATTGCTGACATTGTATGTTAGTTTTCTAAGAACGGAGCTGGTTTTCCAAAGATGCTCCGGAAAATCGGACCTACAGAAAATATTGAAACCAGTGTCAGCTTATAAAAACATGTCTTACGGCACTGACTATTCAACAGTGAAAACCGCAGGTCTCTGTCTCATTTCTGTGAAAAGTTATTCGAAAAATATTAGCGCTTAGAACTTAGTTAACGACTTAATATGACCTTCAATTAATGCTTGCTTAGCTGTATGTAGGCATGCACCAGTTCCAATCTTAGGCTTGGAGGATTGGTACCAGTTAGGCTTGGTACCAATCCCAACAATCTCCAGTTAGGCTTAGTACCAATCCCAACAATCTCCAGTTAGTCTTGGTATCTGTCGAATTGGTCGACCAGTTAGGCTTGGTCGAATGCAGTAGGCAAGAGCTTCACCGTACAACCTATGATGTAATCGTCATTGCACTATGCGCTTAGAGTAATTTTTTTGTGCTTCTGTTTTACTTCAAAGAAGATCACTCTCTCAGAAGTGTATTCTTATTTTTCTGTTGACGAGGTTTATTTAGTCCACTTATTTTAGTCCACTAGCCGTAGTTTCAAACTTTTTTATATTAATAGACAGCTTCACTTCCCCCATCGCCTATGAAAATGTCTTGTCTTACAGTTGGTGTCCTTAACCCGATGACTCATCATTTTACAGTCTAATTTTGCGGTCTAATTTTGCATCTGGTGCTAATTTGCCTTTGTTGATTTCGAAACTACTAAATTAAACAGTCGTCTAAACGTTTATGTCACTTTCAGGTCTTAAACGACGGTTGAGTGATTTTATAAGAAATCCCAGTATTAAGTTTGAACGTTATGAATAACGGCATATGGTAATATATATATATATCCTCCATTAGTCCTGTACTTTTTCACGATTGCGACCTTTTCTCATCATTAATCTGGAAAACGCATTTAGTGTTTGCCCTCTAATTAAAGCAATAGATTCATTATATTAAAATAGTTCTTTAGTATAAATTTAGGCTTTCAAAATGCGGTTGAAATTTAACAAAGAAACTCTTTGAAGAGTTCTTGAGTAACCAATAGTAAAAGTTAGACTGTAAACGAAAGAAGCAAGCGAAAAAAGCAGACTGACATCATCGACTATTACTCGACGCTTGAAAATGAAAGTAGAAATGTATAGAAAATTCATTTTTTATTTGCAAGTTTTCAACACATAACATGTGTCATCATCAGGCAATATAAACGATTCTAACAAAAGATAGAGATTTTATATGCGACGTAGCTATTTAAAACTAAGTCTCGCATTTCGTATATTTTTTGAAAGCCAAGCCTAACTGATAACAAGCCCGACTGGTACCAATCTTGACTGGAGATTGGTAGGATTGGTACCAAGCCTAACTGGTAACAAGCCCGACTGGTACCAATCCTACCAATCCCCAGTCGGATTGGACTGGTGCATGCCTAGCTGTATGATCATTTTCTCCTAAATCCACCTCTTCTGCTGCAGCCTTATCCTACAACAAAGTAAAGAGAAAGAATGTAACTATTTTAGTTTAGTTATGGGAAAAAATACAAAGTAAAGACTGGTTATGATATCTCTTCTCTACCACTCCTATATCTACTAAAAAAGTATTATATTGCATCTTTTGTTATATTTTTAAATACTGTAATTTTTCTTAGATCTGTATAAAATTGTCTTCTTTTACTTCAAGTGCTTTCAAGTACAGCTGTTGCTTCTCAGCACTCATTTTTGGACGAGTCATTTTTTAAAAATAAATGTTTTTGCTAATCTAAAACAGAAAAACAACAGAAGACACGTGGTTAGTGAACTGTCTCTAATCAATTGTATAGTACATGTAGATAAACTGCTTTTTAAAGTCCATTTTCTTCTATTAATTGCACCGACACTGAGCCGTGTCTCTTAAAAAAACTTAATTAGGCAGAGGTTATACAGTAAAAAAGCACTCATAAATTCGACCGTTTAGAGTATTCTGAAGAATTGTTTTAATTAGAATCTCTCTAAAATTGTGTTTTGTGTAATTATTGCGGGTTTGATTAAGTATGAAACGTAAAATAAAGCAGTTAAAAAATATCAAAAATTACTATACTGTTTACAGTCGTATCCAACACGTATACGACAGTCGTAATCATGGACTTGGGTAGTCATACGAGACGAAATTATATTTAAAAGATTTTTTCACATATATTCAACGGCAGATCAATTTACATTCATTAGTAGACATACATTTATGAAATACAGTTTTTTGTTTGCGTTTTTTATTTTAACAAATGCTTAATATAACTCATCATATAACGAAGATGTAGAAAAACAGAATCATAGATGAAGATGATTGAAATAACTATTCATAGCCTATCACACACAACACACATTCATTAAGGATAGTGAATTTTACCTAAAACTTAGAATAAATTATCTCAAAAATAGAAATATATGAAAATCAAAAAACGGCAGCAATTTCAAACGAGTATTTCAAGTTTAGAAAATAAAATTCAAAATTTAAGGAGGATCTTGTTGATACTCCAAGTCTATTGTCACTGGTTGTATAGGGACCATATATTATGCTAAATCAAATTTAATTCAACTCATTAATTCTAAATATGGCTTAACAAACTGTTGGACGGTTTCGTTTGATAATATTTGTTAATGGTAGAATTTCACTGGCACTATGTGCACGTTTTCGAGGAAAATTAATAAGATCTGTATACAAAACAAAAAATCTAATTTGATCAGTATTCAACATACTAATTAAGTGAATAGCTCACCATTTCGATTCTCTTCAGTCGGTAACTTTTGACGTCTTTGCTTTGTAGCACCCAACTGATCTTTTGAAGTTTCATTCGTACCCACAACTTCACCAACACGCTCTGCATCTAAACATTTAAATACTACAATTTTCGAAAGAAAAAATTATTCTCTATAATCTTACGATTTAATTCAATTTCTGATTGTGACGGTTGAGTATCCGGTGATAGTTCATCAGAATCTTCTTCTTGAATGGCAGTTGGACTGACACCAGAATAGTCGATGTTCAAGAATAGTAGAGTTTCAGAGCCTAATAGTTACATATTGTTTCAGACATAGCATTATCAACATTGACGAAGACACTTTACTTACTTTCATCATGAGGTATTTGTGGGACATGATTATTGACTGCTAATAACTCATCTAAAAAGTAATATTCAACTAGTTTATAAGCATGAAGATGATGCAAAATTTTTCTGTTAATTTAATTTCTGCTTAAATGCTTAGAAAATAGCTCATCGTGACTTACTTGGCATCGTGTCTTCTAATGACGGAACTTCAAGTACATATTCCTGCGCTGTTTCCATTTCAGTAGCTTGTGATTGTGTCTCCTTTGTTGATTCACTTACGTTAATCATTACCAGTGTCTCTATATAACCAGAGGAGAACGAAAAATTTAGCTTTATGTAGTTACAAACAGAAAGTACTTTACCATGCAGTGGTTGAATTTGCAAAGTTGTCAACAATTCTAAGCTGTCATGACCTTGCAAACCTTCTGTATTGCTGACATACACTTCAGTAAATTCATTTGTGTTCAAACTAATTGACTCTTCTTCAGCTATTGTCGATCGTATCTCTAATCAGAAAGTATACGAATTTAGCAAAAACTAGCATAAATTTCGTAGTAACACGAAATACCAGTTAGTTCAAGAACGTCTTCCATGATGAATGCCGAATCTGGCAAAAATATGTCAGGCTCGACTTCTAAACAGATACAATGTATGGAGTCACGAAATAGTTTATCGAATATAAAAGGACTCTTCTCACCAGTGACAGTACTGGAAAATAGAATAGAAATTTGATCAGATGCTGATAAGTTTCGAATGAACTCGTCATCGACGCCTAAATATGAAGGTAATAGTCTTTGCATATGTACTTTTGTTTATTAGAAGCTTACGTTCTGAATGTAGGGACTCTTGTTCGTCTGTTGGATCTATAAAAGGAGCAAAATTCAATTAGTCATCTACTCTTACCTGCAAATATATATGTCCTGGGCAAAACTGAAACTCAGTCGAAAGAAAGTCTAGGTAATTCACTGACATATTAAAATTTATATATGAAAATTAAATCAGTAAAACGAAATCAAAATCAGCCAATGCATTTTATAGATGCCTAAACACTTGTGGTTTCATGAGATTTTTTTCTTTTTCTCCGGACATTTACGATCCTGTAGTGTGCAAGATTTTCAATATTATTTAAAATAGCTAACTTGCTAGACTCCTTAGACAAAAAAACCTTGGAAAGTTTCTAAGAATAAACATAATGGTTACAATTTTGCCTGACACATGTACATACGATTTATGGTGCGTTCTGCGTCCAGTGCTTCATACTCTCCTAAATCTAAACTGAAACCATTGATAGACTATACAGAAAGTAACACTTTTGTATTAAAATTTAAACATACCATTTATGAAGCCCTCATCATTAGAATTGAAATTAAACTCCGATAATGGAATACATTTTCCAAAAGAACAGTGAGCACTTGAATCTGTGGTAATTTGATTTGGTGTGGATGATTCCATAGACGAATTGTAATTAAAGAACATGACTTCGTCAAACTCTATAACTTTTAGAACAGCATGACACAATCATGAAATATATGAAAGAATGGCAACATACCTGGTTCATTCGTTTGTACTGAACACAAAGCCGCTGTCTCAGACATTTGTGATATGACTTTAAGAGACAAAGAAACAAAAACGTTTGTTTGAACGTGTATCAATCAGCTTACGTGAAGGAGGAATGATAAGATGAATTGCTGGCTCAGTTAATGCCAAGTTATATTCTTCAGATCCAGAGTCATCTAAATGTACAGACATAGTTACTTTATTAGTTCCAAGCGTCAGAATGCGGAAACGCGATCTCGACTGACCGGCGTAAACTTACTAGATGCTTGCTCTGCATGTTGTTCCTGATCGTTATCTTCTTCGTTTACGTCATTTGTACTACTTAAATTCTTTGTAGATGTCATGTTTCGTAACAGTGTGAATTATTTCTTGTGAAGTGATTGTTGATTGTATATTTTAACAGTAGTTTGAAATAAACTACCAACCAAAGGTGCATAATACACAACGAGTAATATCCTGAGAACCGTGCATTTTGGATAATCGCACAAATTATTTAAACTACATTTTTATCTGCAAATATTAAATATTTTGAAGAGAACAAAGTGTGAGCTACCGACTTTTTAAAAGAAAAGAAATCCAAAAAATACACAGTGTGGCATTTTATACAACTGCAGCACTATCCGTTACAAATTAAAATGCTCGGACGTTTTTTTTGAATAAGTTAAGTAGCAACAAAATAGCAGCCTAAGGTACAGTCATGATTCGAGTGCATTTTTGTATGAGCAAAAGTAATTTTCAAAAATTAATGTTATACGCACTTTTTTGAGAACAAGCTTTGGAAAATGTGTTTCGTTCTTGGAAAAGTAAAGAAATTATATTTTAATTTTCTCATGGGGAGATAGCCCAAAAAATACACCATCAGAATGGATCCAAGCGAGATCAGTGGTTCGCATGACTTCGAATTTCGTTGAAGCCCTATGATTAGCATCGGGGGATTTTTTTGTTCTTAAAACTACAGAAAACCTGGATATCTGTTCAAGCCAAATCTCATGGCACTCTAACAGCTGGTGGAAACCGAGTTTTTCGAAAATCTGCAGTTTTAGCTTATTTTAACCTAATATTAACAAATTCATAACTCAGTCAAAATTGATCCTATCGACATGAAAATTTGGGCATTTATTCTGTTTTACATAGCCAACATATTTATGAGATTACAAAACTATGAAAAATATTTTCTTTTTTATAGGTTTCTGGAAATTTTTTTGGAAAAACTAACAGATTTTCCAAAACCCACTTTGGCATTGAAGAAAATATAGAGCAACCAAAATTAAGCATAGTTTGCAATTTTCGAGTCAATAGGATCGACAAGATACATAAATCTTCCACTATTAGTAAAGAAAGAATCATCTGATTTCGAACAGTATATTTACATCGTGATAACACTGACGTTGCAATACTCTTACTTTACATTTCGTAACCCTGATACGCCCACCTGAGGTCCAGCTGGACTCCAACGAGTTTCAAATTAATGTTATATGCACAT